AAAAATTGACTAGTTGCTCGTCTAGCTTGTTGAACTTTTGCCTAAATCGTTCAATCATCATTTAAGAAGGTGAATGGAGGAGAGGGAGAGATACAGTCATGGTAAACATAAATATGACCAGGAAATTGAAAATATTTTTAGAAATCGGTGATTTTAAATTTTTAGAATAATAGCCAATTAATATGAAGTCAACATTGAGTGTTCGTTTTAACGAACTCATGGTGATATTCGGCGTTTTACAATGAATGAGGTGGTAAGCGACGTAACATTGAATACACTGATCTGTGTTCGTGGGTTCAAATCCCAACGTAGGCAAACATCTTTTTTATGTTTAATTTAATTTTTTTTTACAAAAGCAAGGTCCCAGGTTCAAATCCAGATGACTGCACTTTTTTAAATATTTTTGAAAAATACACTTTAAATTTTTTATAACAATATGTTTAAATATTTTACTGTATATGTTTAAAAATGCTGGATTTTTAAAAGTAATTTTTATTTAAAGCAGCACATTTAAAAACTTAAAAATATTTGAATATTTGTATTTTTTTTTTTAAATTGTTGGAATATTTGAATAATTTTTTACTATTATTTTAGTAGAATATGTGATTGTTATATATAAAGATTTGAATAATTTGTAAATATTATTAAGAATATTGTTATTTTTTAGAAAATATTTTTTTCAGAAAAAAGTTTTATTAAAAAAAATTATTAATCTAATTAAAATTTTTGTAAATAACAAATTATTAAAATATTTAAATATTATTTTTTTTTCTAAAAGTATGCCAATGTTTGAATTGAAATTTGCGAATTTTTTCTAAAAAAATAAACACGTTAATTAATAAAAAATATTATATTTTTAAACGATATTCCAATATTAAAAAAATATATTAGAATATTTTTAAAAACTACTAGAATACTTAAAAAAATATTATACTATTTTTTATTATTATTTATTATTATTATTTGTCTTAGTGTTAAAATTTTACGGTGGTATAAATTTTATTTGTTATTATTTTATATACCATTTTTTTAATTTTTATATAAATTTTAAAACCCATTCTAACACCGGCTCGTTGGTCTAGGGGTATGATTTTCGCTTCGGGTGCGAGAGGTCCCGGGTTCAATTCCCGGACGAGCCCAATTAGTGGCACGGTCTAATCGTCGAGTTTCTCCGCAGAGAGAGACTTTGCAAGAAGGCGTGTCCGGCAAGTCTTTTGTTACATGAAAATATTTCCTAAAAGTTGGAAAATAAAAGTGGTCGGTCCCTTAGAACTTTCTCTTTCTAGAACATTAATGTAAGAATCGGAACTGAGTTATAGTGAGCGTCATACTTATAATTGAATATAGAATGGAAAAAATAATATCCCAGCGGGAATCTGTTCTGAGTAATTCGGTTTAATACACACAGTCGATGCCAATCCAAAAAAAATATATTTTATTTGCAACAACTTAAATAAAAAGGGCGATTTCTACTTACTAATTTTGTTTGGAAATTTTTACAATAACTTTTTTTATTATTTGAATTTAGAAGATTCTTGAAAAATATAAATTTTGGAAAAACTAGTATTTATTTATTTTTAAAACTTTAGTCAGAATTTAATTTATTTTTTTTATAGAAGATTTCATAAATATATTAGGTGTCATAGTTTTTGGCCTTAATTTAATATATTCTTAAGAGCTCACTATGTTTTAATGCTATTGGTATTTATTATTTTAATTAAACAAGCCAATATTTTCTTTGAAAGTGTTTACGAAATAAATAAGACATTTAATCCTACGGTGCAACTTAGAACAACTAAATATAAAAAATTGCTGACCTAAAGATCTTCTTATATATTTATATATACATATACATATATATTGAGCTTGAGGTCATGTATTTCGTTTTTTTATTTTGTTATTTACAATATTGCGTTATGTATTAATTTAAATTGCATTTTCAGCACAATCCAGAAACACTTCATATATTTTTTCATATTTGCTATTTACAGTTACCTTTAAACTTCAAAAAATAACCATATTAGATTGACTTTAAATTCCCGGTGTTTTTAAAATCATCCAAATTTTCTAGACCAATTCCATTGGCCTTTACTGTCCCTAAATACCATTAAAATACCATATCATACATACACTATTAATTTTGGGTTTTTGTTTTCTTACAACAAATTTAAAATGCATTGCATTTTTGGAATAAAATTTCTATGAAACCATTAAAAACTAAATTTAACAATGTTACAAGTGTTTGCATGTTTTCAAAAAAATGAAACACCCACACATATCGATTTATTGTCATTTCATTCAAAACAGCTTTAGGCCAAAGCAATTTCGCGCTCTGACACACAAAAAAAATTTAAAGAAAAAACACCCAACCAAGTGTAATTGAGTTTGTCATATTTTTGATTGCAGTTATCGGTAATGGTAACAAGATAATAACAAAATAATTTCTAAAAAATCTGATGTATATTTAACAGTTTTTTGTTTAAAAATTAAAAAAAAAATACAAGCAAAGAAATTGTCATATGCCCTCTGTGAGGTTTGAACTCACGACCCCTGGTTTACGAGACCAGTGCTCTACCACTGAGCTAAAAGGGCGTTAACGCCCGCTGGACAAAAATCCAATACAAATATGTGTGCATCGTGTGTGTGCTGTTCTACTGAACTCTGGAGAAAGCAATCGTTGCGAAATTCTGTAAACAATTTCAGAATTGTTGTTGTTTGTGGCTAAAAATAAATATTGATGTGTTTTTAAACGGTTTCTTTCGACGTAATTGTTGTTGTTTTTGAGTTGGCTTTGCAAATCATTTTCAGATTTTTTGCACATGTTTGTTGTTTTCTGTGTGTGTCTGCCGTCTATTTTTAGAATTCCTTATCGTTGAAGAATTCATTGCTGAGTTGTTATTGCTTTGCGTGAGAGATTATTTTGGTGTACTCACTAGTGGTGGAAGAGTATATTTGTTGGTGGTTTTTTTAAAACGAAAAAATAATTATATTGAACTATTTTAATTTACTTAAAATAACCTTAATTGTAAGTCATAGAACTGATCTCCTTTAACATTTATAATTTTTGATTAAACATTTAAAATACCCAGAATATAAACACTTTGTAATTTATTATAACCAACCAACATTTCCTTTACTTACATCTAATAGAGTACACTTTGACGGCATTACCCATCTCTGGCATTGTTTACTACTCTTAACAACTCATTTCTCTTGTGTATACTACACACTCTCTCGCTCTCTTTCATGCATACACCGGTAATTCGCATGCTTCATTGTATTAACAACATTGCTTGGTTTTTCTTGTTGTTGTTTTCAATTTCATTCTTTTTGGTTCGTTCTAGCAAAAAGAGGGGTGAGTGTGTGTTCGTTCTTTGTGACTGCCTGAATTGAAAAAACGATTTAGGCAACGGTCGAGACATCGGCTCGTTGGTCTAGGGGTATGATTCTCGCTTCGGGTGCGAGAGGTCCCGGGTTCAATTCCCGGACGAGCCCAAGTAAGCATCAATCTCCGGTCTTCGCCGGAGAGTGGTGTGTGGTAATTCTTTTGCCGTTATTTTTTTCTCTACCGTATGAAAGGAAAAATGAACAGGGAAAAAGTAAGAGTGAGGTGTTTGTGTGGAGTTCTTGTTTTTGCTTGATGGCTTGTTGCTGGTTGGTTAGTTCGTGTTTGTTTTTTTTTTGCAAACGTGCTTCGTCGTTGCTGTTCGTTTTTTTGTTTGGCATTTCTTCTTCCATTGCCTGCCTACGTGTTGTTATGTCGTGTGTTGTGTTTATTTAGTTTGTAGAGTGATGCCACACCACATTCCAATGTTTTGTTAACATGATGCCTTAAATTATGCTTTAGTTTTTTGCGGTTAGCAATGTGGTGTTAAAGTAGTAAAGGAATAAAGGAATAAAGGAAAAAATGATGGGTTTTTCATCACATCAATAAAACAACAAGGAGGGATACTTGTGACCGGTGTTTATAGTGTCCTTCTGGCTTCCTATTTCTTTCCTGTTGATTTTTTTTTTTTTTTGTAAATCTCTGTTTTTTATTTTATTACTTCACGTAGTCAAGCGAGAAATTTGAAAATGTTGTTTTGGAAACTTTATACGTTTGCCGACTGGCTGATGACCGTTGCCACCAGCTAATAATTCATTTGGTTGGTGTTTTTCGATTTTCTTGTTTGTACAGAAAGGGTTTTCCATTCGTGCTGGTGTCCATGGTGCTTTTCATGTCTTTCTTATCCCTGTTTATATTTTTTAACTACCATCCATGCTACTACATACTGCTGCTACCTTTGGGGCATTAATAGGACGTGTTTTATTTGCATTAGCTGATGATGATAAACATTGTTGTGCAATCCCAAGCTTCCCCTGTCCCCATGCCATTTCATGTTCCGAATTTGTTGCTTTGTTTTTAACTTTTGAAGTTAAACGTTTTTCGAAAGTTTTAAATTTTTCAAAACGTTTTCTTAATCATTTGCCAGTTGTTATCTTCCGTTTATTTTTTGGGGGAAATAATTTATTACCAAAGTTTGTAAATTTATTTATTTTTAGGAAAAAATTTGGAATACATTTTAAAAGATTTTATTAGAAAGGATCATTATTGCTTATGAGCTTCCATCAAAAAAGGAATTTTTAAAAACGTTTTTCATGGATTAAAAAAAAATATATTTTCTAGGATTTTTAAGACTTTTACAAAATAAAAGTCGATTAAAAATATTTCATATTCCGTTTTAAGCATATAAATTATTTTAAGTAAATTTTAAAATGTGAAGTAAATTTTTTTTTTTAAAAAAAAGATATTTTTAAAAGAATATTTTTCCAAAGATTTTGGGCTTTTATAACTAGTATTATTTTTAAGTATTAATAATGGCCTTTCATAATCGTGATTTTTTATTATTAAAAATAAATTAAATATTTTGAAATATTGGATCACTTACTTTCTATTTTTATACAAATTGTAGAACTTTTTGTACTTTACTAATAAACTGCATTTATTTTTCTCTTCGCTTTCCAGATGATGACTATGGATATAACAAAAACCGAACCCAATGTGGGTCCCAATAACTTACAAAATACCAACAACAATCAAACGAACAACGCCAACAGCAATAGCATAACAGCAGCGGCCAACAATAACAACAACAATGGCAGTCAACTGTGTGCCGGCTGTGGCAAACATATACAGGATCGATATTTATTACGAGCTTTAGATATGCTGTGGCACGAGGATTGCCTGAAATGTGGCTGTTGTGATTGTCGGCTGGGTGAGGTGGGTTCGACCCTCTACACCAAGGGCAATTTAATGCTCTGCAAAAGAGATTACTTAAGGTATGTTCAAAAATGGAAAAGGGCTTCTTATTAATTTATAAAACTAAATTTGGAATTTATTTTTATTTCCTTTTTTCTGTAGGTTGTTTGGCAACACTGGTTATTGTGCTGCCTGTAGTAAAGTAATACCGGCATTTGAAATGGTCATGCGGGCACGAACAAATGTCTATCATTTGGAATGTTTTGCCTGTCAACAGTGTAATCACAGGTAAGGATATTATTTTCTTTTTAACCCTTTGGCTGCAAGGAATTTATTATTAGCTCCCCATTCCAACCCCAGTAATAAAATTTTATTTTTATTACACCCTTGGAGACAATTAGCCAGCCAACACATTGAATATTATTGATAAAAACAAAACAATATTTTTTTTATGAAAATAAAATCATGTTTTATTTATTTTTATTTACCTCCAAAAGGAAGAATTGGCAATATATGTCATGTAGATTACCTTAATGTTGTCATTTGAGGAAAATCTTTTTGTTATCTTGTAACCCGTTTACTTTTATATGAAAAAGGTTTCCTTTTTTATTCGCAAAAGGGATAAAATACAACAACAAAAATCGTCTATTGTTTGGTTAATCTTTTATGCCGTCAATACCCTAAACGACACTTGAGAGTTCGAGTGCCAGAATGAACCTTTATTTGTGAATTGCTATATTTGTTGTATTTTTTAAGGGGGATGTCGAAATCTATTAGAACAAATTTTTATTTTGCAGGGTTGGAAATCGTTTGGTTTCTTCTTTATTGTTTGTTTATATGTGTTTTTAATGCAAATAAATTTCCTTTATTTTCATTTGGGGAATTTTGAGGAAAATATATTAGCTATTTTTATTCAATATTTATTAAAATTAAAATCTTATAAAATTGTATGCACTAGCCATACGTTGGAATAAATATAAGGAATCCAATAAAGTACTTTTTGTAGTACTGTTAGGAACCTAAGGAACACACAATTTCTTTCCATGAACTCGAGAAAACCTGAATTGGAACCGTAGAGTCCAAAAGTTCGCTAGTGGAATGAGTGACATTGGCATAAATTCCTGATTGCCAATATGTAGGAAATTCTAGATGTACTTCGTCGGTACTGTCTATCAAGTTGTTGATCTAAGTTTCAATTTTATGTTACTACTGGCTAGATCACCTCTTCTAAGTTATAATGTTAAAATTGAATACAATTTCGATGTATTGTAGATTGTTGTAGCTTATAGAGCAGAACTAATTTAAACATATAGGGAATTTTTTTGGGATGATAAATTATATATACACATCTTCATTTGGGGATTTGAGTTAGAAAAAAAAAACTGGCAACGCTGTCCAACACCTTCTGATAAGAGTTATATAGTTCACGAAGGAACTAGTTCAATTGAACGATTCACTGAAAAGAGCATACGAACTAGAATCAATCGACATTTTAGTTCAGCTTATTATATTAAACGTTTTATTCATGATGCAATAATAATGTGATGTATATAAACCAAAACCTTTGTTTTTGTCTCGACCATCTGACAAATTTTGCCTTATCATACTTCACATGGTTGGCAACATTGCACATCGAATCCAAATAGAAATTACCCACTTTGACAGTTAATCAAGACAACAGCTGCGCTAAGTGGACCACATATTTATTGTGCCATGGTTTTACTCTTCTTTATCCATGTTTTTAGCAAAATGCCACATTTTACAAAAATTGCGAATAAAAAAATATTTGAAATTGAAAACGAACTAATTAGAGTCAATAAACTATACTTATGAACTAGATGAACAAGCTTGTCAAACAAAACCATTACAAATTACGGAATAAACTCATATCCTCTTGTCAGAAAATTGAAGCTAAAATCGGCAACTGACCGTCTTTATCACCCAACACATATTTAAAAATATTGTGACTGAATTCGAACAAACTGCGGATTTTCTCAGATAGAAGGCGACATTTCCCAAAGTCCAAAAACTCAAAAAATTGAGCTGCAAACATAAACGTTGTCTGAAACAAGGGCAGCAACATTAGCCATAGAACACATGTTCACTTAAGAAGTCATTAATAAAATTCTGATTGATTCCCATAATAGTTGCAAAAGAGGAGGTCTATCGTCATTAATAGAGTCCAAAAAGTACGGAGTGACTTATAATAGAGTTCAAAAATCTCGTACCTGAAGCGATTCGGTTTTTTTCGGTCCAAAAGGAAAGACTGGAAGCAAAAGGAACAATATGAATGGAATAACCGGATCTAGTAACGATTGTCACTTTTACAGAATAATTCCCTTGGACTACTTAGATCCAGAAGGATCTATCTCTAGTATTTAAGGGATGGTTTCACCATATAAAAGGCTCGGTTAAAAAACTATTGCTAATTCTTGGGATAGTATTGACCTGAGATGATTTCTTTGCAGGAAATCACTTTGAGTCCTCTCAGTATAGAAATAACAGGACACATGGATAAAATATTCTAGGAGCCACCACAAATATCTCTGGCTACTGCCCTCACAAAATGTCCTTCAGTCTGTTTCAAAATGGACAAAACGAAAATAAGATTTGAATAGGGGGATTGTGAAAAGGGGAATATATGAACCTCAGTAAAACTGGTCACATGTTTGGGTGGGAAATTTTGTCCATAAGTTTATGAAAATCAGTGAAATTAAATATCCTTATATTCGGGATATTAAAAATGGGTGCAGAAGAAGTTTCTAAACCAGGTCGTTTGGCAAATATGAATCTTAAATGCATGCAGACTACTGGAAGTTGCTCAGAAATGAACAGATGAACTAGCAAGATTTCGGATGATTAAAGACGTTGCGATACTCAGGAAGTTAAGCAGGGAAATTTTTACTTAGCCTACTTATATTACGATTTACATTCAAGTATATCTGATTGCGATGTAACTTCAAAGCCTAGTCCTCATTAAGAATTTGTTAAAAAAAATTAATAGTTTCCATCGTTATTATTATATATTCAGTTTGGGTAATAATACTGTATTTGTTTGGCACTTATTTACCATTTTTAAGTTTTGGCAATCAAACATCAATAGTTGCGCAGTTAATGCAACTTTTTTAATTTTATTATAATCTTTTAAATGATTCTAATTATTCTAATTATTTTTAAATTTCCCATTTTATTAAAGCCCACATTTTTATTAATTTTCTATAAGATATAAAATATGTTACTTATTTTTATGATAAATTAAATATTTTTAAGCGCGCATAGTTTTAATTCCTCGTGTTACCATTTTTCATGTGTTGGCAACGTAATATCAATGGTTAACAACCTTTAATACACATGTTGTCAATTGATGTATAGTTTTGGCAACACATACCAAATGATTAATGTCATTTGATCTTCCCTTCTGCAATTTCATAATTTGAAGCATACTTCAAGGCGTCTACTGTTGAATGAAGTAAACTACCACGTAAATCAAAAAAAAAAAAAACAACCACATTTACATTGCCCGACATTATTTAAACTTTAAATTTTAAAGTGAAAAAAAATACTTATTTAATATAAAATATATTAAAAGAGAATAATACGAAAATGGCTCGCAGACTAAAAATTAATATGAACAAAATATGGGAACGAAAAACTGAAGAATTGAATAGAGATTTGCCTAATGTTTCTTGTGTTGCAAAAATAGCTGCGTGGCATTTTAATAAAACACTTCATCAATATAAAGTATTAGGCAATTAATTTTTAAAATTTTAATTTCCTTTGAATTTTTATCCACATAAAAAATCTGCCAAAAAAAAAAATCTGTTGGCCAATAATTTAACAAATTGCAAATAATATTTACTACTCGGCTATTATCATGCCCGGTTTTATTTGCCGCCATGTATAGCAATCAACTTTAACAAGGACTTACAAAAGGGATTTCAATTGTATTGTGTGTTGTTGTTGTTGTTATTGTTTTTGTTAGTCTTTGGTGATTTATGCTTGTTGCAAAACTGCCAGATTTCAATAGAGTAAACATTTAACTTTACCCAAGTCAACCATTCAAACTCCCTCTCTTCCCGAAACATCAATTTACAACTTTTTTTGATCCATCCAAAAATATGTGCGGGTGGGTGGGTATGTGTGTTTATCTTGCAAAACACCAAATGTAAAGAGATGGAACGAAAAAAGGAAAAACTAAAAGTCAACCAGAAAAATAACAACACTTTTGCAACTCAAATAATGTAACATATCATGGAGGAGGAGCAGGGAATCACATTTCTATGAACGAATGAACGCACCTGTGCCCAACAAAACGGAAAGTTTAACAGCGGAAGAGGAGCAATTTAATGGCAGGCAACACCACAAACTGGCTGGATGAAGAACATCAACAAAAACGTAGTTACTTCTATTTGCAGAAAAAAACCAAAAAAGTTTGTAACAAACTCACACAGCAGATAAAGAGTGCATTTTATCCAGCAGGATTTTGTTCAGGACTTTGTTTTTCAAAAAAAAGTAACTTTTCCGATTTTTTAAACCTTAAAAACCATGTAGAGGGAAACAAGTACCATAAAAAAATAGCAGCACAGCCACAGGGAAAAATGTTTGCGGCATAAAGCTGCGGGTGCTTCCGTTTCCCATATTTTTTTTGCTGCCACCAAAACTTATCTACTGGCTCGGCGTACATGCCCCATGCTTCGGCCTCAGGTTGCCTGCAGTCACAATGTGTTTTACTGAAATTTCAATCAACACTTTATGATATCGATAACTGCGATAGGTAGCCATTGATGATGACGATGACGACAATGATGAGTGGGAAAAAACGTCAAGAGGACAACATCAACAGGAAATTATGAAAAACACCACAAATGTCAATGGGAATTGGCTGGCTATACGTAAAACAACAACAATCTCATGGTCTTGGTTCAAGTTTTTTTCAGATTGGTTTTTCTTTTTTAATGGCCTTTTTTGTGCGGGGAAATAATAAACACAAACGTCACATTTCCGCTCAACATATTTTACATACCTTTGGCCAAGGCAGGAAAAAAATACTACTCCCACATTCCAGGCGGTCTCTTACACATTTGCATACAACATGTAAACATTTAATGCCAGCAGGCTCGGGCTCCATTCTGGTCTGGGCAATTCGGATCACCAGGTGCGTTGGCTTACATACGTCTGTGGCATAAATCTCTGTACCGCAATTGAAGTGGGTGGAGAATGGTGACACAGCAAGCTTCAATGATTTTTTGGCAATTGAATTAATTTTTTAAAAATTGATTAGTTCTCCAACCAAACAATGCCACCAACAAATATATGCGGGTGGGGAAATGGACTGGATGGGAGTCCATTCATATTTATTTGCATATGTATTGCAACATTTACAATGCTTCAAAAATATACATATGAAACCATTCGAAACTGTCTACAATTCGGTGGTTTGCTTGCGGCTTTTTTAACCTGTCCAGCCAGCGAACCGAACCCTACATCCGCTTGAACAATTTGACAGTTTTCTTTTTATTTTTTTTTTGTTTTTAACAAAATATCTTAAATATGCATATGCATATTGTATGCATCCATAGCGCGAGGTATTTTAAATGCATTTTTAATTAGACGACATTCGTCAATATATGTGGACACAGAGGTTTTACCAGGCTATAAAGTCAGTTTATTTTGTTTTTTACTTTTATTTTGGCCCAGTAATAACAATAGTCCTGGCATGTAAACACTTCAGGAAATTCAATACACCTTATAAATTTTATATATATTCGATAACATATTGAATATAATTCATTGTAATATTTCGGTTCAGTTCAAAATACGTTGAACTTTGGAAACATATGCAAGGTATTGTTTTGTTCGATGCATGAGAAATTGAAAATAGAAAAAATAATCTGCATAAAATCATGAAATAAAACTAAAAAAAAATATATTTAAATTTAAATTGTTACCGGGTCCACTATACAAATTCTTCTCTGTGGCCGCGAGCGGAAGCCTTTCATTTAAACTCACATTTAATTTAATATTCCATGATATTTAAATTATATGGAGTTTTTATGGCATTATCTTTTCGAGTTACCATTTTTAGCCGTGGGCAACATAATACCAATGCGTTGTGTCATTATTGCATTACTTGCCAATTTGTTTGTAGTGTTGGCAACACATACCGAATGATAAGAGTCTAAACGCAACCATAGAGTCTAGAGTCAGCGACAGTCGTTTGCCGTGTGTTTCTTATAGGCAACGGGAAATCGCGACGGCTGACGTTCGCGTCTAGCGGCATGACGCTAGAATAGATTTTATTCATTTTTGCTCAGCGTCATACTCAAAATTTCTCTCTTGCTCTCAATTGAGTTGCCATATTTTAGGTAAAAATCAACAGTGCTACCAAATTTCAATGAGAATTTATATCAAAACATATGGCAGTGCTGTTGAAAAAACAAATATTTTCAATGATTGTGGATGTTTTTTAACGAATTAATAATAAAATGGAAGAAAAATATTTTTTTTCGATAATTTTATCCAAGTTCCTTGACATTATTGTTTATTAAATAATAAATTGATTTTGGTTTGCACAACGTAAAATTTTCTGTCAGAAAATGAAAACAAATAATTGACATTTTGTGCCGCTAACGCTAACTCTTTCGTTTGGTTTTCACGCCGGCGAAAAAGTATGACACTGACTCGTGACTCTCTGGTTGCGTTTAGACTCTAAATATGCATATGCTATTAACTTCCCTAATTTTAGTTTTTGAAGCACACTTTATGGCGTCGACTGTTGATTGAAGGTGAATAACAAAATGCAACCCTGTATGTAGTGGCTTGTTCCGTCAGATATAAAATAAAACAAATTGTTGTGTTTCTTTGATTTTTTTTCACAAATAAATAAAAACGGAGGAGAAAACTATGATACGTTTCAATTTCTTCTCAAAATTGAGTACCATTAAATATTTGTTTCATCCACAACTGAGCAAATTCAAATATCGAAGTAAAAGGTTTTCATTGTAGTCAAATTTAATACTGCTTATAATGGTGGAGCCGAGCCAATGCCAGCATTACAATGCACTTCTCCTAGGAGCCATATTCAAGTTTACACTATTCGCATAGATCGGATGGGATAGGGACATTTAAATCCTGAAGTCTTAGTTCAGATTACGGCCTTGCGGTCTATTTTTTGTACCGGCTTTTCAGATACCGAATCTTTTGTTCGGTATTTATTTTAATAGTCGATGCTTCGGTTTACTTAGAGTTCCGACCCAGCCAAAGGTAACACACAATTCATATTTTCTGTAGAACAGATATTAGAATTGTTCATAATTGAAGTTCAGATATTTTTTGGATGCAGTTTCTATTGTATATACTCTGAAGCATATATAGAAAAATATAGTTGTGTGTAGTCTGATATTGGATGATTGATATTGAGCTTAGAAAAGATTTCGGTCTTTTGCGCAGTTTTTCCAATTTGAAAGACCAATTTCGGCGATGTTGTCTTCGACTTGATCTTTCCAACGTATTCTTGGCCTTCCCCTTCTGCGTGAACCATCAGCTGGTTCGCTTTTATATGCCTTCTGGGCTGGGGCATCTTCATCCAATCTCACAACATGACCTAACAAACGTAGTCGCTGCAGCTCAATACGTCTAACAATTTCGATGTCCGAGAATAGCTGGTACAACTCATGGTTCATTCGACGGCGATATTCACCGTCAACGTAGATCGGCCCATAGATCATTCGGATATTTTTTTTAATGCTTCATCTGCTTGCGCAAGTACCCATGCTTCAGATCCATATAATATCACTTAAAATCTCTGTGGATCAAATTACATATTTAGAACAAAGAGTTCAGTTATGAAAGTATTATGTGTTTGAGATTATTCTAAGTAAAATTAGTTTAAGTAGTAACATACGAGTTGAAATATTGACTGTTTTCTTCTCAAGTCTGATTATATTGCATACTAACTGAAATTCATATCATTATTACTTTAGCCGTGTATTAACTTATGCCTAAGCTATGATTGTTTCCAAGAGCCAAATGATCACATCCCAGTGGTTCGCATCATGGCACAATAAATAGGTAGTCCATTTAGCGCAACTGATGTCTCGATTAACTGTCAAAGTGGTTAATTTTTCTTGAATTCGATGTGCAAAGTTGCCAAACATGTGAAATATTATAAAGAAACATTTGATATATGGTCGAGACAAAAACAACGGGGTTTTGTTTTGATATATCACCTCATTATTGCATCATGGTTGGCATGTTGTTTCAGATCATGATGCAATAATAAGATGATGTAGCAAAGCAAGAACATCTGTTTTGATCATCTGTCACATTTTATCTAGTACTATTTTTCATGGTAGGCAACATTGCACGCTGAATTCAAGGAGAAGCTATGAACTTTGACAGTTAATTGGATAGTTAGCTGCGCTACGTGGAGTACCTATTTATTGTGCTATGTTTCAGATTTAGTATTAACACATTTAGAACGCCAACACTGCTATAAACAACCGTTATTTCAGTGAAATTCCATTGATTGTTTTATTTTATTGTTATATCCCTAGAGTCAAGTTAACATCAAATTTTATTCCAAAATAGTACTTTATTTTAAAAATATTAAATTTATAAAATGAAATTTAAACTATAAATTCTTATAGTGACATTTACAATGTATACGTTTTGATTCACGCTTTTGATTTAGGTGCACCCACTTACCACCCACTTCTGTGTAGCCAACATTAATTCTGAAGAATAATTAAATTCCGTCGGAGTCATATTTAATGCTGCTTTAATTAATTATTAACAATAGTATACTCAAAGTAAGAAAAGTTTTTATGGACGAATATGTTCTTATCGCATATATTACATATTTTTACTATTAAGCTTACATATTGCTGCACGCTTTTACAATAGGTGCACCCATTTTACTTACAATTTCTCTGCGTTGCCAACTCATTCTTTTCTACATTATATGTACAATGTTTATACACTACTACCTTGACAATAACAGGAAGTTGTCATCGCTAAAACAATGACAGATGCGGTTGATATGAGAAATGCAAGTACCGTCATCAGAGTTGACTTTTTCGATTTCCTTTTAAATAAAAAAAACAGGGGATATTTTAATTCCAAAAATAACATTGTTTTTTTTCTTATTTTTTTAAGTATTTAAAAAGAAAAACAAAATAAAAAATCCTACATTTAACATTCAAATGCATTTTGGTTCCAAAATAAAAAAAAAAACAAGACAGAATAAAAAATCCTGTTTCCGGCAAGCGGAAATTTAAGAATTTTAAAACAAATATATTTGCTTTGTAACATGTAACTTATGTTTCTCTCTCTGTTTTCTCTTTTTTTCTTTCATTACAGATTCTGTGTTGGTGACCGTTTCTATTTGTGCGAAAACAAAATACTCTGTGAGTATGACTACGAGGAACGTCTGGTCTTTGCCTCGATGGCCAATCATCCAATGCTGAAACGGCATGTCAACTCCATAGGCCAGGATACATCGAGTGGTGGTGCTGGTGGACCTGGTGCCAGTGGTGGTGGTCCCGGCGGTATGATGGGTGGTGCTGGGGCAAATGGTCCACGCACTCCTGGTGATTTGAATAATAACGGCCCCCAGACAGGTCCTGGTAGTTCACCCTTTGGTGCTGGCACAGGAGCTCATATGAAAAATTCATTAGGAGCTTCAAGCTAAAATATAACGACAACTTCCATGGGCCACAATCATAGACGGCATTATTGGATGAATCGTGGACATTACCAAAGAAAATTTTAAGCAAAGCAAAACGAAAGATTGGACAAATGAAAGAAGAAGGAGAAGAAAAGAGAAATGTTTTAAGCCCAGCGCAGAGCCCCTCCATATGTGTCAGTGTGTGTGTGTGAGAAAAAGAATGAGTGTTGATGATATGTTTGAGTGTGTGTGTGTGTTTTAACACCTAAATAATGGAATTTAATGAAAAATACCACAAAAGAAATTTGTTTCAAATTTTCTGTTGGTTTTTTTCCGTTAAGCAACGAAGTTTAAATATTTCTTTTGTATTATTTTTGTTAATTAAATACACAATGACTTTTAGGAATAATATATATGTATACATATAAGTAATGCTGTGTGTAATAGGTTTGAAAATTATTTTGTAATTCTTTTTTTTTAGTTTTTAAATTTGTAAATTATTTTTCTTTTATATTTTTTGTTGTAAATTGGACTCAAATTTCTTTATTTTCTGTTTTGTTTGAAATAATGAAATGTGCAATTCTATTTTGGGAATTTGATATTTCAAAGTAGAAATAAAAAAAACAAATGTTGTGCCAAAAGAATCGACCCTTGTTTCCTCGCTGCAAAGTAGGGGACGAAGGGAGAAGATTTAGATTGAAGAATGAAATATTGTAATTTATAAAAATTATTTTGAAAGAAACTGCACGTTTATTTTTTATAAATCACATCTACTCACTTTCTGAATCGTTTGATGAATGTCCTTCCGTTTGCCTATAACCGATTTTGATGATTTAGGTAACACTTAAAATTTCGATGGGATAAATTTTGATGTGGTTAATTTTTTGGGGTACTTATGTAAGAAAGAAATTTTGCATATACGATGGAAATGGACCTAGAATGTTGTGTCTCAGGTTTGGTTCAAATCGGTTCAGATTCCGATATAGCTCCCATATATAATTTCCTCCGATTTCAGGTAAATCGTGTATAAATGACCACCAGTCTGTCCAATAGATATGGAATTGTACAAAGGCGATATTATTTTGCCTAGAAGAGCGTATGTTAACTCTGATTTAAAATCGATTCAGATTTCGATATACCTCCCATATATAATTTTATCCGATTTTGTGTAAATGATGTACTATGTAGACAAATTCGACACGAAATTTTGCACAGACAATGGAATAGGGTCTAGATAGATATCGACATTGCTCCCATATAAAATGTTTTGCCGATTGTATGTAAATGATGCACCTGGGATGCTATGTCTATCCGATCGACATTAAATTTTGCATAGACTATTAAATTCGGTCTAGAATGTTGTGTGTCAAGTTTGGTTTAAATCGATTCACATTTAAATATTAGGCCCATACATAACTTCGCCCGATTCTATGTAAATGATGCACGGAAGAGTCTATGTCTGTTCGATCGGCATGAAATTTTGTATAGGCCATGGAATCGGGTCTAGAACGATATGTGTCAAGTTTTATTGAAATCGGTTCGGATATCGATATAGGTTCCATGTAAAATTTCGTCAGATTGCATGTTAATGGTTCACTGCAGAGCCCGATTGACACGAAATTTTTTATTGTGCGTCAAATTTTGTTTAGTAGAGCGTGTGCTAATTGAAATCGGTTAATATTTGGATATAGCTGTCATATATAATTTCGTCCTATTTTAGGAAAATTACGCACCAATGACGCCACTTAAGTTCGAAAGATACGAAATTTTGCCTAGGGATTCGAATTGGGTCCAGAACATAGTGTTTTAAGTTTGGTTTGAACCGGCTTCGATTTCAATATAGCTCCACTCTAAAACTTCGTCAGTTTTTAGGTTAATGGTGTACTACAGAGGCTATATATGCCCGATCGACACACAGTTTTTTCTCAGACTGCCAAATTTAGCCTATATGAAAATGTATTAAATGTAATTCAAATCGGTCAATGTTCGGCTATAGCTTCCATATATAATATCCTCCGATTTTAAATAAATGGCGCGCCTAGGGGGTTATTTGTTGATCGATTGACACCAAAATTTGCACAGACAATGGGTTGGGGTCTAGAAACACGTATAAAAACTATGTTTGAAATCGGTGGAGATTTTGATATAGTATAAAGTTGGCTAATGTGTGGTTCTTCAATAGCTCTATCCTTGCACTTTATAATTTTCGTTTATTTTTTCGAGTTTTAATTTTTAATTTATCTTTTTTTTTTAATTTTTGTTTAAATTTTTTTTTATTTTTTATATTTTTTGAATATATATTTTTTTTTTTACTTTTTATATTTTTAAAATTTTTTTTGCATATTTTTTTAATATTTTTTCCAAAAGTCATTCTCCCACCGATATGCTTTGTACATTTCCGGACAATTAATTATAATAATTTTTTGCTATTATGTTAACTAATTATTTTTTTTTTGTGTACAGTTTCTCTTCACCGCTCTCTGTATAAAAAAATGTTTATAAATAATTTTAAAAAATTACCATTAAGTTTTGTTATAATTTTGTTAATAATTTAAAATAAAAGACTTGTAAATTATTTTTTATTTTCTTATAATTAATTTTAGAATACGATTTAATTTTAGAATACGATTTAGAAAAAAACACAAACAACAATTTTCGTACTTCCCCAAAAAAAACCTGTAAATAGTTTAATTTAATTTATTATAAAATATAAGAAGAAAAAATTAAAAAAATAATTCAACTGCCCTTGGCAGTAAAACTAAAAATAAAAACTGAAAAAAAAACATTTTGCTCATAAATATTGTATTTTTTATAATAATGTATAATTTTTAATTTTAGAAAATTTGTTCTGCTAAATAACTATAAATAATTTATATATTAAAAAATGAAAACTAAAAAAAAAATTAATACTAAAAAAATCGATCTGATTGTTGATTATTTCCTAAGTTTAGATTAGTGTGAGGCTAATTTGAAAGTCATTAAAAAAACATTATTCTAGCAATTCTCCCTCCCTTTCAAATAAAAAATCAAATACTCTCTCAAACATAAATATGTTAAATTTTCCATATGGACGGTAAGGGTCAATCATAAATAAGACAACCGGGTATCAAAAGTTATTTAAAAATACCGTTAGGAACTTGTTTTAAAAACATTGTGTGATGCCCTTACCTTCCAACCTTAGTCATATTTTATGTTAACCATTCAGTTTGTTTCGTTACCATTTTGTTCCCCTTTATTAAATATGCATAAAAAATTAAAATTATAAATTACAAAAAAATAGCAAAAAAATATGTCTTACAAAATATACCATATACCGTATTTAAATATTACATACAGAAGAAAATCCCCATCCCTCCCTCAGAAAATCCCCTTGCCCCCACAAACATTTTAATTAATTAAGCCACAAAACAAGAAACGCTCAAGTAGCAGTAAATAAAACAAACAAACGAATAAGAACAACAACCAAAGTTATTAAATTAAAAATAAAAAAACAACAACAAAAAAGAAAATATGTAATTGTATGTGTCATTGATTTTTTTATTTCCGATGAAAAAAAAATCAATCTATCAATTCAATCATTGCAATGACATACTCTTATTTATAAGTGACAGATACGATATATAGATACAAACAAACAAACAAAACAAAGAATAAGAATACAAAATGTCATACATAGATTAATACTTGTCAAAATAAATCAAAATATTGTATTACATTCTTACTACAACAAAAACACAAACTGAAATACGAAAATATGAAGAATTTAAAAACAAAATACAAAAATTAAAAAAAAAATAACTCAACAAAATATAAAATAAAAACAAAAATAAAATAAAAATTATTCTAGAAAATTTAATTCAATGCGTTTTCATTAAGAAGGGGTTGGGGGCAAGAAAACTGGCCACAACTTTAAGTTTCTTTGTGTCGAAACAGGGTTCACCATTTACGAACTTAAATACAAAATTCCACTCCCATAACCTCTTGAGCGAGTTAAGTAGGCCAGGCGGGACGGGCAAATATAGAGTTGCTGTGAATTGTGCAAACCTTTACCACAGTTCGGAATCGAGATGGGTGCACCACACTAAATTCATATGATCCTGCGGTTGAAAATGTTTTCCTGAAAAAAATATAGAAAATGAAAAAGAGGGTAGCTGGAGAAATTGTACCATGTCTATATTGGCTTAAGGGCACCCCTTCTCAATTCTCGATTTTTTATTTTTAAGATTTTAAATGGGCTGGTAAATAAATACTAATGCTTGTTAAGATTTTTAACTTTGCACATATATATTTGAAGATTTAAAAAAGAAGAAAAATAATTTACAAAAAATGTTGTTTTTTAGTGATCAAAGAAAAGTCCTTATTTTTGATGGCGGCCATGATAACTCCTCACTGGAACATCGGAATCCGAAAATTCCAACGGTGTTAGAAAGAGTACATGTCTGGCTCTCGTATGAACTAGGATTATTGACTTCGCACAACAATGAACAAAATGGCGGAACTTTGAAAAAAAATTTTGGTAAATCGCCTATTTTTGACCAAAAACTTAGTTAAAAATAAGGAAGATCTTCACCGATTGGCTTTATCCCTAGTTCATACGATAGCTATACACTCACAGAGAAACGTCCCAAAATTTGAAATCGATTGGGTTGTTTGTTTTTTGAGTTATCGTGCCCGTCATTCGCAAAAACACTGTTTTAAAGTTTGAGAAACCCTCTTGCTGTCCCTTGATGATAACACAATAAATCGGCTATATGTTCAAAATTTTTTGAGATACGAACATTCTTGAATTAGTGTAGGTTCGAATTAAATCGAAATACAAAATTTAATTTTTTGAAACCGAGTGTGGGGGGGTTGGGCCTTAAATGGTTATTTGTTACTTCCAGTTATTGCTATTTTTATTTGTTATTTTTTGTTAGTGATTGTGGTAAGTATTTAAAACCCAATACCGATCATTATTAATATTTTAGAACCATTTAGTTCTTAAATAGTACGTATTTCCAAAACTACCTCCATATTACAACCATACTCACCAATACTGACCGCAACAGAAATCTAGTTCTATACCAAATTTGGTATCATTTATTACCCGTTGTACTCT